ATCTGGAACAAAAAGACGCAACCTACCTACTGTAGGAGCAAATCCGAACTCCCCACCAGCCTCTAACGTTGGCTTGGAGAAAATGTTGACCAGAAATTTTTCTTTATGTTTCCTTAGGTTGATTCAGCATCAACATTTGACCTCATTTTGTCTTAAAGCAGTTTTTCAAAATATATATATATATATGATGTAAAATTCTTTATTTGTTCAACTGAGAGCAGCACTCTGGCGCTGCTCATGAGCTTAATTCACCATGGCAGCTAGTCCCAGATAACGTGGGAGTTGTTGAACTCCAGACCACTTAGAGAAGTTTCCTTCCAGTGAAGTCATTTATTTGGCATAAATTGTAATTAGTATACTGGACTGAAGGAAGTTCAAACCACTGATCTCCCATTAGCGAATAATCTATTTGAGCTACAATCATTCCAGCAACATATCCCCAGGACCACATACACAAAAACATAAACAGATACTCAAAGCCTGAAAATAATGCGGGTCATGCTGTTTCAACTCATAGTTCTTTTGTTTACTATTTACAGTGCAGTCTATTGGTATCACAATCTTTACATTATCTGAGACAATCTCTGAAAGATGCTCTGAAAGAGTGTACTGAGATTAGGTATTTTCTATTTTAACATGAGTTTAAACAGAAAACAAGGAAAGCTTTGATCATTTTTTAAAAGTGAAATTTAAATATGGTGAATTTGATCTCTGGCCCTGAGGCATACTTCACATACAGATAGACCTGTGGTGGAAAACAGATTAGATGTAAGTCTTCCTTTTCTCGAAATCAGAGAGAACAGGAAACTAAAACCATAATTTGCATGGGCTCAGTAAAATTGGACAATAGAAGATTCTCTGTCTTTGCTTCTTTTTCCTCTCAGGTTTGGAGTGAGCTGGCTCCTCAGCTTTTTCCTGGGATCATCCTTGCCATCAGCTCGTTTAATCTGCAGTATTTAAAGAACCTGCACTCTCTGCCAGATCATTGCCTGCTCAGTGGTGGTGCTGCAACACAAGGCTACCAATTTATTCTCTCTCCTCTTGCCGACTAGTCGTTTGGTGTTATAGTCGCTGGAAAAAACTCAAGCTGACTCCTACAAATCCTACTCATCTGAATCCCTGAGCTAGTTTACTTATGCTAAAAGAGAAACACTTCCCTGTCACCCACCTGCCTCTCTAGCCTTCTCTCCCCTCAACTTGCTGTACTAATCAATCCAAGACTACATGACTTCATGCAATCAAAGTAACCCTCACCCATCTCTAGCTTGATCTCTCCTCTTCAGCAGAAATCACTGCGTCACCCCTTTAAAGAGTGCACTCACCTGTTAAACTGTTAGTGAGTCCTGCATTGAAGTCCATATTTACTGACATTATGACTGTTTTGGCACTAAAAAGTACTAAAATCAATCCAACACAAAAATAGCTGAATGGCCTGAAGCAAGTATTTAATGTAAAGAAAGCCTCCTACATAAAATTTTCATGTGTGTTATTAACAGATTTTCTAAAAGGCACATGTCCCACAGTAAGCAGGTAATGAGTGAATCGTTTACTAAGCTGAGATTTTTGGCTGTAATCTTTGTAATCTTTGTTGCTGCAGGATACTTCTGTTGTGTTCACTCGCATATGTGGGATCAGATTCAGGCTCAAACATGTACAAAGGGATTTGTAAAGTTACCTGTTGTGATGCCACAGCTCTGCAATAGAAAAGCCTCACTTCTGGAGCAAGCGATAAGCAGTTTAAGTGTTTTCTTTAATAATTTATACAATATAATAAGTATATTATCAAGTTAGGTTTGCTGTTAGCAAAATTTAAGTTACTTGTGTTCCTAGCGGGTTTGCCAGTGATAATTTTCAAATGCACTAGCTAACTTCTCGGCTAATGCTAATTGAAAGCTCAGACAACATCACTGGCCATTTGCAATGTTGATGATGATGCAGGAAGAACACCAACACGGAGATAACAGATTGTGCGTGGACAACATGCAACATCCATGGTCACTGATCCTGATGTGAAGCGCTTCATCTTCATATCTTCCTCAGTCGTCTTTCTCGATCCCAGTGCGTCTCTACACCTCTCTGCATTAATCATTACTTATTATTATTCGCTGACTCTTTTCCACAGCATGTCTTTTGTGCAGTCTTCCTCCAATCACCTCAATCAGTCGCAACCCCAGTGGCTGTCCCTCCCTGAGCCTGGTTCTGCTAGAGGGTTCTTCCTGTTTTTCCTCCCCACTGTCACCAAAGTGCTTGCTCAGGGGGTCATACAATTGTTGGGGTTTTCTGTTTTCCTTGTATCTTTTTATCTCTTTTGATTATCTTAAATGTACAGCACCTTGCTCAACAGTTTTTGTTTTAAATGCACTAAATAAATAAATTTGATCTTTTATTATTGTACAATATAAAGCACCTTGAGGCACCTTGAGGCAACTGTTATTGTGATTTGGCACTGTATAAATAAAACTGAACTGAATTGAAATCTTATCTTGGCTGTGGAGTCTTACAGGAAAATCACAAACTGGTTACATGCAGTATTAATATTGCATGTACAATGCACCCCCACTGAGCAAACTCAGTGGGGGTGCATTGTCTGGCAGTTTGTAAGGGTACCATGGATGAGAGTGAACTGCCTTTGCTTTGCTGTCTTTTCTCATCAAGCAGCTCAGATTTGCCTCCACTTCATACAAAGCCTTTCCCCTTGAAGGAGGACGTCAGCTCTTTGTGAGATGTGACCACAAACTGTACAAATCAAACTGGGTGAGTGACAGGACATCTTTCAGAAAAGCGAGAACACACTTGAAAGTGTTAATCCTTAAAGTCTGTGGTAATAATAGTTTTTCCCGATACATTTCAGAGACAACTCACTGTGAAGGGACTTGAAAGGTGAATGGGCAGACATGGCAGCCTGACTGGGAACTAAAGCAGTCATTTAAAGAGCGTTTCATTTCTCATTAAAGAAAGGCTTATAAACAGACTCTTGGATTGCTCTTGTCACTGTGGTTTGCTAATTTTACTGAAGGACGGTTTCCACCATGAGGAGGACAAACTAGGAAACAAATTTAGTAAGTCTTCCTTGTATTATTTGTGCTACTAGTTTGAATAGGACAGGATTACATTTACGTCTTGGGAAAAAAAGATCATCTTACAACAGTCAGGGTCTGATTTTGTAAACTGTAAGAATATGTTTAGCGTGTAGACTAGTTTTGTCAAAATACCAGAAAGGCAAAAGAAAAAGAAAAATGATTTTGTAATACAAATTTTAAAAAATGAAAGACAAAGAAAGACCAAAAAGGATCTATAAAACCTTATAAAAGCATTACGTTATTTTCATTTCACCTACTTTATTATTATTATGCCATCACACTGCCTTGCAACCATTTAGCAAAAGACTAAACTGTTATAGTGGAGCAGGACTTTGGCTTATTTTTACAGTTTGCCTCAATATACTTTGATAAGTTTGATAGCATATGAAGGTGGACACACCACAATGCATAGAAAATGCAAGGGTTCACAAAAGTAAGTACAGTCACTTTTGAAAATGAAAAAAACAATGTACTACCCCTATTTTTTTATTCCTCAATATGAATAAGTACATCAGTTTTCTAGCTGCACAAAGCACAGACCCAATAATATTGGCCCTATACTATGGTCCTGTACTAGTTAATGAACAATGCAAGAAAAACCAAAATAAAATCAATCAATCAAAAAAAACAAAAAAACTTACTTATCCTGACCTTCCTCAGTGATAAAGTTTGTCTTGAGTGTATTTTGCAGTCTTGTGACAGCACATTTGTAATTTATCCTGTCAGAAAATCACTATTGTTGAAAGAATTGTTTTTATTTCTGGGGCTTATATCCCGCTGAGGAGGTCTTAATATTATTTGGCATAACATCCTACTCAGTACTACCGGTACAATAAAGTGATACGTGAGACGGAGAGGATGGAGGTTTTATGAGCAGGTGATGAGGAAGGAATTTGCTGATAGATACTTGGGTTTAATTAATAATTAAACAATATGACCCCAATAAATCATGCTTCCCTAAGAATGTACTGATTTATGCATAGTTTTGTTGTTGCTGTTGTTGTTAATTTGACTAGCACTGATATGCAAATTCACTAAGAGCTAAATACTACATTTAAAAGCAGTGTGGCCTGTCAGCTCTTTACCTAAAACCTAAGAAAGGCAAAATAAAAGCTCCATGATGCTGACAATAGTAGTTGTGAACCACGCAGGCTTGTTCTTTTTGAACTTAAACATTTCGTTGCATGTGCCTCTTTTTCCGGAGACAAACTTGTTTTTGTTTTGAATTCCCACGATTTAAATTGAGTGGCTTCATTATTGCTTTTTGTTTACTGTTGTTGTTCTAGTCACAATAAATGAAAATGTTGCACAAAGAAAATGAGTGAAATCAGACAGAATAAAATAAAAAGAAGTGAAACCTTTTCTGCTGAGTCCACTTTGTTTAAATATTATGTTGATTTGCAGGTACAATAAACTTTCTAAGCATATATTTGAAATACAGTTGCTCGTTCGAATCAAATCCATCCAGACTTTATCCCGACTCTTAAGCCACTTTTGGTAGTTTTCCCATCCATCTTTGTTTAACATCAACCATGAGCTGGACCTATTATGCTCATTCCAAGCTCCTTATTCTAACTTTGCACTGGAGTTCCTTTGCTTAATTCAAAGTTAAAAATAATCTTTATAAGCAGTAAAATCTATTATTTCTACTGTGTAGACAACCCTCCCTTTAAGCAGGCTATCTTCTGATTGGATGTCTCCTGAGATGACCACATTATGAGTATCCCTTCTTGCCAGCATCACAAAGACCCAAGAGGCAAAATGTTACAGTGATTACTTGTAGATACACTGACCTAATCATTGGCCCAAATATTATCATCAACATACACCACATCATCTTTAAGAGTAAGAAATACATCTCACACACACACACACACACACACACACACACACACACACACACACACACACACACACGTGTTCTACTAATTGTTTTTATTTTTATAAACAGTTGAAATGCAAATGATGACAATATAACATGCAGCGTTTGTGAATATGTACATATAAATTTATAAATTTGATAATTTGTCCAAAACTGGACTATGACACTGTTACACAAGTCTCCTTTTTCTTCAGTCACTATGATGAAAAACTTCACCACAGACTATTCACATCATGTAGATGGAAAGAAAGATTTCCAATTCTAAGACTTTCCAGTTTTAACATCCTTTACCTGGCTATTCTCCTCCAGTCTTGCAGTTTATACTGGCTCTCTCCATTAAAATTTAGTGTTAGAAACTCCATAGTATGATTTATTAAACTTCTGACAGCCACCACATATTTTCTCAGAGATGGAAAGGTCAAGGATTTTATTAAACTTACACCAACACTTATCGACCTTCACCCGAATGCAGTGATATACGCTGTGACTCATGACGTCGCGTCTAGCCAATGCGCACCATGGCAGCTTTGCAGTACAGCACACCTTATACAAATACATTCACAATAACGTGAAAATTGGTAACAGACGGCTGTAGGGATGATTTTTTAAAAAGTGGCATATATGAGATTATAAAGCATAAACCTGATGTACATCAAACACAACACTCAAAACATATAACACATGTAATAAACTGTACAACAAGCATAAACACACATACAGACACATAAAAGCATACAAATATACACAGTTTTCTGACACAGGTGTGGGAATATATTTGAAGTTCTGTAAGAGCGAGTGCTGAAACCACCCGCACCAGATTTGGATCTTATTCTGAGTGTTGTTACAAGACCTCTGCCTGATGACCTTAAAGGCCTTAGTGGGATTTAATAAATGAGTAAGTCATCGCCGTACTAGGAACACAAGCATAAAGGTGCTCTATTGACTATTGAAAGGATTTTGAGTGTATTACTTCAATCTACTATCAACATGAAAATGTAAAGTTAAGGTAACACATAATTAGTATAGCCAGTCATATTTGGCAAAATATTTTTATTATTTATGCCTACTCAAATGGTGATAGGCTGTATCATCTTCATTAACCAATTCATCAAACAATTTTTCTGATTTTTCTATCGGTGATCAGACAGCAGTAGCTTGTGAATGCTTTGTGCTTCAATGATACACCAGATATCCCAGTTTACAGGGATATCTGGTGTATCGTTTACAATACACCAGATATCAGGAAGCTGTGAAGCAGACTAAAAGAAACTGTAAACTGTTTACAATTTGTCTCTAGCACAAACAGTATCTAAGTCATTTAAAGTAAAAAGGTAAACAGGTAAAAAAAAATGGTTAAGATAAAATGAAAGATGCATCGAGGTCATCAGAGGAAATTAACATGTACAACTGCATGTCATCAACATATGAATGGCATATGAACAGTAACACGTGTAGGAAGAGCAGTGGCGATATGCTCCATGTGGATCCTCAAAAACACCTTGTGTTGCTGCACAAAGGAAAAATGAAAAGCTGGTGAAAATATCATGCTCGCTGTAAGTCAATGCTGAGGTAAAAGTAGATTTTTCTCATGGTATATGTGCTATATGTTATGAAATAAAATACATTCACTAATTTCTTTAAAAAAAAATCTGTTCAAAAAATATTGTCTATAAAGTTAAGATTAAAATTTGGTTTGCAATTAATTCCAGAGTTTATTTACAGTTAGACTGAGAAAAAACAACTAACAGGTTTGTAGGGATGGAATCAAACCATTATGTTGCTATTCGAACTATTTAACTCGCTTCCTCTTGTGTCTTGTTGTGAGCTTTGCTTTGTGTTTAAATGTCTTAATTATCTCCTCATTGCCATCCTCAATTCCTAACCAAGCCCCTGTATGTATATACAGTCTCATCATTGTTGAGTCATCTGTGTTCTCCTTTGATTTCTGTTTTTTGAATATCTTCATGGTCTTACTAGATTTATGTTTTTATTAATTTTTGGGCTTTGTTATTTTGTTTATTGAACTTTGTACCAATTCAAATAAATGGCTCACCTTTTTCTATGAAGCTCTACCATCTGTGTCTGAAACTATGGGTCCTCATCGCTCTCTAATCGACACACAGCACACTGTGACAACACTGAAGAGTAAATGTTTAAATGCCTCAATGAATTCTGTCAGATTAACCCCTGAGTACTGTGAACACAGATTTTCTTTTCATGACAATGCATAATTCTTCTTCCCCAAGTTATTGTTATTGCCTTATTCGTCAGGACTGCGGTGCACAGATGATGTTTTGCATTTTGACCAAAAGGGAGACATTTTAATACAATATTAAATCGACATTAAGCTGTGAACATTTAAAACTCACAAGTGGAAAAAAGGCCACCCCCAATGCAACATCATACCATTCTGCATCATGTATTATTATCTTGTAATAGTAGAAACAAATTTTACTTACAATCATACTGGGGGATAAGTTTGCACGGGGGTATCACACAGGATGATTGGAAACAGCACAACGACCTCATCCAATGCTCCTACGTGGAGTTTAACCTGCAGGAAACAAAAAACAGAAGCTCATTAGATTTTAATGAATAAAAAAAGAAATGGATCCAAACAGGCTTTTGCTGTCTGAACAGCTGAGGTAAACTGGGTTATCAATACATCCATGACTTCTCAACCCATCACAGGTACTAACCTCAATAATGTAATCAACAACCAGAATGCTGCACTCTGAGATGGTTAAAGATGCAGACGAGGGAATAGCGAGCATGATCTCAGTGCGTACATAAGAAACCTGAGCACCAACAGGTTCTCCTGACACACACGCCAAAGTTTTGATAGCCACCTTCCTGTTGCGCTTACTGTGGGTGTAGAAAGTCTGTTTCTGTTGCAGCTTCACCTTCGGAGTAGCTGTTTTAGATGAAGGGTTACTAAATTCACAAAATATTTTCACTGTTTCGCCTAGTGGAAGAAAAGACAAAGTGGCAAGTTATTTCAATCAAATTCTTCAAACTTAGCTATTATAATTGATTATACAGATAAAACGATTATCTGATGGATGGAAACCATACCAGGGGTGAAAGCTTTCGTCGCTACACTGACTGTCAGAGTGACGGGACTGGAGTTACACCACAAGCTACACGGTGTCACGCTGTTTGAACCTGAGAGTGGCGCCTGCAGAAAAACAACACACTGATAGTGCCACAGATAAAAAAAAAAAAGAAGTGTAATATACCAATACTACACTGTTTTGCTTTTGGGATTACGAGAAATCAACACCTATTTATTACTCTTATGCAGAAAAAGTTGCACAAAATGAGCATCAGCGGACCAAATCAATCAAACAATGGCTTTAGAATAATATGAAGAAATGGAGCAATCCCATCATTCTCTGTTTCACTGCATATTTGTAGTAGCAGCTCAGGTTCCTTTGGCATTGCATGATGGAACCGTATAAAACTCCAAACATATCCAACATTTGCTATAGTTACAGTAACAAAAAAAACCCCAAAAATCTTAAATTCATCACTTTTGGTCCCATAGTTACTCAGAGCCTCGGTGGGATTCATTTATTAGAAGTGAGAGCTTGTGTACAGTCTGGTTTGTGTCCATTTATTCGAAAAATACGTCTGAGAACATGAACAACTGAAGCACAATACAAGGTTCAATATAATAGTGGTCATTCAGTCTGTGTTGGTTACGACTGGAACATAATCAGATTGTAAAGATGTAAATTGTCTCTAAATGCAGTTAGACAACTCTGAATCATTCTTGTACAATAATTGCTCCCATAGGGTTGAATGAAAGTACAACAAAGCAAACCTGGGGTTGCAGAGCTTTTTCAAAGTCAACATATTGAGTTGTGAATGCAGGAAAAACATAGGTGTGGCAAGTAATTTCAAATTTTGGTTCACTTAAAAGGATTCCTGGGACAATTAGTCGAACAAGGTGTACTTAGGGAGGCCTGTGAGAAATATCAGTTTGATTACAGAGAAACTGCAGACACTGCAACAAAAACAAGGACTCCTCAGCTGATTCATCTGAAAATGCACCACTTACATTCAACCCTGGCTGGTTGGTATCAATGTGGTTTACAAACTTAAGCTCTGTCACAAAGTCCTTGGACATACGCCACGGTCTATTAATGCCCACTGTCAAGGTATATGCTATTTTTCCGTGAACCCCATGAAAGGACGATGGGAAGTTTCTGGGATGCAAAATAATAGAAAAGATAGAAAAAAAAGTGATTCAGGCGCATACAAATTCAACAGTTTTACAATAAACAATAAAAGTAAGCATTATGTTAATGAATCAAAAGGTTGAACTACAACACAACTTGTAGGTTTTGGATTTTAAAAACCAAGGGCCCATTCTTATCTTATATCTACCAAAATCCCTTCATTTTTAACAGTGGCTCTTTACTTAAGTCAAATCTACAGTTCCTGATTTCTTAGCTTTATGCATAATTGTCACACTTGCATTTTTCAAATCGGCAATCAAATTTAATAGCAGACAAATATAACTCAAGTAAATACAAAATGCACTTTTAATGAAGATCTAAGGGGGGGGGACACACCAGCCCTCGAGGCCTGGACTTCGTTTTTAAATCTTTTAGCCTGCTTGACTTTGTCAGACACGTTCTGTTTTAGTGATATCTTCATTCAACACGTCTGGGAGTAATCAGGTCTGGGTGCTTTTTGTGATCTTAAACCCAGCTTTCCAAAATAACATGGCTATTCACCGTTCATTCATGATTTAACAAATAGAAATGCATTTAGCATTTTTTTAAAGGTTATCATTGTCTATTAAAATTTGTTTGATGAAAAAACAAACTAACTAAGAAATCAGGAAGGGGGTAAAGACTTTTGTCAGCATGCCTCCCTGAGTAAAACGCTTCACACGCTAGTGGGTGTTTCACAGTTAAATGGTCATACACACCCTAGTGGGAGCTGACATGTGAACGGATACACATGCGTCCCGAGTTGAAGTTTTGTCCCACGAGTAGCTATAAGAAAAGGACAAAGACGGTGACTGTTTGTTTGCCATGTATCACTGCGTCCAAACAGCACCAGTAACAGCATACCCCTGTCTTCTTGCAAAATAACTCCTTTTAAGTCGAAGAAGTCCAGCCTTGCAGAGTAACGTTTCCTCGTTTCCTGTTTCCCTCCACCTCCTCCGGCGGTCCAGTGCACATTCACGTTTCCCTTCAGCCTCATTGTTATTGAAGTGATCTTTGTTTCTTTTGTCAGATCAAAAGAGATGTGACCTATGATTTGGTCGCCACTGGAAAAACTATTTCGTCCATCGTGCCTGATAAAATTGATTTTGAAATTTCGGATTGTCTGCTCGAACATCTCAGAGAAACAAAACTAAAGACAAGTCTTACAGGAAAGAAAAAGTTTAATACGTCTGATAAATGCAATCGGACAGAAAGTGAGAACGGCCGAATCGAATAACTTTTTTCTAATCAACAAAAATAAAACTGCGTAGGCGACACGTTACTCCGGGGGGATCGCCCTGACATTGGGCGGAGTCACGGGTCAAGTATTCCGTGACCTCCGTGGATCCGTCGAAATTTAAAAAAAGCATTTTAAAGTTGTTGCTTTTCGTTCTCCATTTAGCTCCCGTTACTTTTACATTTGAGATATTCACAACCACCTTTGTTGTTGTTGTTGTTGTTTTTACATGAAAGTAACTAATCTACTTTTAGTAAATATGAGTTGAGCCTGTTTTGATAAATATTCATATTTATGAAGCTGTAACATCCCTGACGTGTTGCTGTAATGTATTAACTTATGTGTGATTAACTTTTTTCTTATGGAAATATCACTGATTGTAATTTACGACTATTTAATTTATTATTATTCAATTACTTCATTTATTTTATTTGATGGATCTTTCCTTACATTAAATAGTTTATTTCTTAGGTAGATTATTTAAAAAAAAATTAAATTCGATTGGTTTACATTGATAGCATTCTTCTGACAAACTGGAGACTGTAAGAAACAGTTATAATACACAGTACAACCAATTTATTAGAGCACCACCCAATGCTTATGCCCCACAGCTGACATAAATTAACAACACTGGTAATATCCAAAATAACTACACCAGTATTCTCCAGCTGTTTAATCAAAATTATATATTTTTAATCTATTTTTATTTATTATTATTATTATTGTGTTACAATTATTGTTTTGTTTTGTTGTTTAAGTTAACATTTTTGCAAAAGCTGATAAAAAAATAGTAAGTAAATAACAATATAAAGTTTTTGTAAAATATTTATGTTTTCCTGTGTTTCTGACAGAAGGCTTTGTGAATTTTCTAAGCACTGTATATAATATAAAATCATCTGTCTACACAGGTATTATTGGGTTACACAACCAAATCCCTTTTTTTCCCTTTTGCTTTTCTTCCTCTTCCATGCTTCAAAATAACGTTTTGGCCTCGAGGTACTGCTTTTCTCATCTGTCTAATTAACTGTTTTTCTCATCTAAATGTGATCTCTTATTATAAGAGGAGACAGACTGTATCCACAATGAAACATTTAGAAAAAACTATCATCATCAAGGTTGTTAAGAGACTTACACTTTCATATTTCAAAGCAAGTATATTTCTTAATGATGAACATTAATCAAAATTTGAAGTGCAAGTTTGACACTGAAGAATGTTTTATATATATATCACTTATGAATAATTAACTTCAAATTGTTTGGAAATGTTTTTACAACACTTCCCAGATTGATGTGCAGTAACAATCTAATGTCTTTCCTGCCTGGCATTGTGTTAACACAGACCCACAAACTGCTAAAACCCCTGCTTTAGATGCGCTCACACTTGCTGATGATCAGTTGGCATTTGATTAGCACCACCTGTCTGCTACTTACCCTTTTAATTCCTATGAAAGCAGTAAGGGTGTACTTAGCTTTTTGCACACTGCTTCTGAATTTTGGCTCAGTTTCTGTTAAATAAATAATAACATGGTGTGATATGTCATGTTTTGTACTTCGCTTTTTTTAATGTCTTGCATCGAGAACTGAAAGAGAGCAGGCTTTCCTTGACATGACTGTAGTTGAACTAGCCTGACCTTTTAACAATGTGCAATTGTTACACCACTAGATGGCACTCCATACTTTATTGAGGCACTCTATCATATATTGTAAAGCCATGCATTTTTATACAAAAACATACTGACAACATCACTCGCCATTGCAAAACCCAAATGTCATGTTTCCATTATGTGGAAATCAATTATTTCAGAACTACTCACTGAATAAGCTGCAGTGGCATTTTACTGTGTTATGCTTTAATAAGAAGTGTTTTAACTCCCCTTTGATGGGTTTATAGTACACAATACAGCCATAAAATGAAGATAATGACCCATTAAAACTGACAGCTCACGACATTTAAAAACTCCTGGCACAAGTTAACCTGGACACATATCTTTTCAGACCTGCTCGCTTGCCACTTTTGAGAAGGGAATAGACCAGTCAGCAGCCTCTTTAATTTCAATGGAGAGTATACTGCACAACATGCAGTGCAAAGGACTTAAGGGAGTTTGTGATTTCGGCAGCCAAATATCACTACGTGTAAGAGACTTGCTGCTTTGTAGTGCATATATACAGGATGTTAAAACATATACAAGTGACTGACAGCGATCACAGACTACCCCACACAGATAACCGTTCACATTATCTGTTCAACGCTGCCAGTAGAACACATTTTACCATCGAGTTTAGAGAAGTTACTAAGAACATCTTTCATTAAACCGACCTTCCAGTCTGGTGCCAATATTATAAAGGCCTGAACATTTATTTTATGGTTTATGTTATATGTTTTAGGTGTGCGCGTGTGTGTGTGTGTGTGTGTGTGCGGGCCTTTATAAATGTAAATGTTTGACAAGACTGTTTGCAATATTTAGATCATAATCTCAAGACAGCGCTTCAGCTGCATTTTAAAACAGGACGAGCTGAAAAGCAGAGGTCGGTTTAATCAACAAACTTTAATGATGTCTGTTATTCAACCACTCAAAGACTCCAGGCTTATAAACAATGGAAAGAATTTATTGTTGCAATAGCGCGGGAGACGCCACTTGTGGAAAGCTCAAGATCCCAGCTGTTGCAGAAGAACTTTGGTTTTGTTAACAATTACAATCCCTTTAACACTAGCACCAAGTCTAGCTAGTGGATAAGATAACATATAAAGCACAGGAACCATTTCTCCTCTGCTTTTGTTTACCTTTGTTGGACAAAATAAAAGATAAAATCTCACGGAGCCATTTTAAACTGTAAATTAGTTCATTAACTTTAGCTAGTAGTTATTTTACTGTTTACAGTTAATTATTATTTCAAGGTTGCAACTTGTTTACAACATTAGATTTGGTCTTTTTTCTATTTTTCACTCATTTTCAGTCCCGTCCTTGTACCTGATCATTTCTGGAAAGCTGGTTTTTGTCTATTAAGATACTTAAACACTAAACAGTGAACCATTCAGACCTAACTTGAGGGCTGAACCACACAAAACAGATAAATTAGCAAGACACTGGTTTTAAATCGTGTCGTTACGCAGGTACATTGCTGACAGACAAACTGAAATGTTTGGGAGAATATAATCACTTTACCTGTTTTATCTTCAAAGCAGATTTTTGAGTCAAAAAGACCTGAATGACAGAGTGAATGATCTGAAGTCCTGCAACGAGTCTTCTCAGAGTTGATGCAGTGTAGTAAAAGTTACCTGGTTGTTGTGAATCTGGAAATTTAAAGTGAATGAGTGTTTGGCACATTTTGCTATTACGCTAGAGAGTTGTAGCAACATGATCTGCTGATTCAGATCTTCACATGCGCGCGTGTGTGTGTGTGTGTGTACTGCTTGAGTGCACTAGCACACACGACCATTCATAATAGGCTTAGCAGTTTCTGATAAGGGCACCTATCAGGTTTAGTTGAGCTCATGGTGACTTGACTTTTCCTGCCAACTCAGTAAATCAACCACATGTAGTATGATGGCTGCGCACACATCTGCCTATCCATATCTTTATCTCTGAGATATCACATCACAGTATTAGTTAAACCACACAGCAGCTGGTATTCTGATCTCATCAGCTGGTTCGTGCAACATGTTTCCATCATTATCAAAGTTTCTGTATTGCAGACTGTTTTCTTTTGTTTTACATGAGCTCGAATTGTGGATTTGCTTGTGATTCTTCTTTTTTCTTGTTACATTTCACCACTTTAATGTCCTCACAATCTTGATTTCTGAAATGATTTCTGTTTTGGCTACATGTAACCCCGTTGTTTGTTGTTCAAGAGGAGAGCAGACATTTCAGTAATTCAGACCTAAATCCAAAGTGAAGTAAAAGAACCCAGAGGATAAGCCGCGTTATTGATCTGTAGTTTCTACACACCGCCTCTCTCCTCTAGTTAATCCACAGGGTCAGCTCTAATGACATTGAGGAGCTCCTCTGGCAGTCAGCACTGCTGCCATTTGCAATTTAGATAGAGGGAAAGGAGACGAGGAGGAGGAGGTGTATGAGGGTGAAAATGAGGAGAGAACCTGAAAGACGGGGGAGAAAAGGAAAAGATGAGGCAGAGAACTGCGGTAAGCTGAAAGAGAAAGACAGGAGGGATGCATGCACTGCAGGAAAAGATTTTGGGAAGGCAAAGACAGAAAATACATCAGGTGGATTTGAATGACAGGAAGTCAGAATGTGGAAAGAGTTGGGGCAGCTTAGTTGTGCACATCATGTCTTACAAATGTATGACAAATGACACCAAATCCAAATACATACTATGAAAATAAACAGTTCAAAATTGGAGGAAATATGCTTATCCGCAGTTTTCCTGATGGTTATGTGGAAATTTTGTCTCCAGCTTAGTTAGATCAGGATAAAGACAAAAAATTAATAGGAACTGAAAACACAGCTTTCAGTACCAAACTGTAAAAATATGAATTGTTCATTTGAAAAGCAGGAGCCCTGTGCACACATAAGAATCTCCTCATCTAACGTCAGCATGTTTCTAAAATCTCATAACTATTCCTTAAACCAGGATGTGGAGGAACCTTAGTGTCTGATGGAAACATTTAACATAGAGCTTCAAAAGAGAACTTTTACATTTCTAATAAGGCTCATGCTGAGAGGAAAGGATTAACTATGTCAGACGTTTTTCTTCAGTTATGTCTTTTCTTTTCTATTTTGCACTGGCTGATAGAATTCCTGCGGCAAAACAGGAAAGCGCAAAGGGAACAGTTGGCAAACCTAATCTTGTGCAGATCCTCTGATAGCTTTCTTCTCCACAAACAATGCTGGTCCAGACTAGAAAGGCTCAAGAAGGGTGCTGAAAGACCCAACAACCAGGCAGAGCCAAGCTCTCTATCAGCCTCTGACAGCTCAACACTCAGACACGTTCATTTAGTGGCAGGAAGATATAACTAAATCACCTCAGAACAATCGTGCCACTTAATGCTTCATATGCTCTGTTGTTGTTGTTTTTTTCTTTTTGTGTGCTTTTATCATTTCATTTCCGTGCTTCATTTAAAATGTTTTTTC